GAACTTGGCCGTGAGGAGGTCCCGGATTGACCTGAAGAGTTACCTGGACCGCCAGTTGCGATCGCTTTTTTCCATGGACTTTACCCCCAAAACCGATCGCAACAGCTGAAAAAAGCGATCGCAACTTGGCTATCTAGGTCGGATGTCTCGCTTGCTGGGACGCTCATGCCTTCCCTCGGAGCCGCGCAGGTATCAGGCAGTGCGGAACCTCACCTCGGAAGACGAGGCGATGGCGGGTGCTGAGTTGGTGTGTTTCGGGGTGCGGGGAAACGGGTGCGGGAATCAAAATTTTAAACGACCGGAGCCGCAAACTCCGCAGGTTTTGGGTTTCCATGTTTCCCACTTACCGCTCGGGCATGCCCCAGGTTGGAATTTCCGTTTTTTTTTGACTTCGCCACAGCCAGATGTCGCCCTTCGGGGTCTCCCAAGGAGAAACCGGATCCTGGTCTAAATCGGCGGCCCAAGATTGACCACCGTGAGGCTTTCGGGACCGTTCGAGAACATGCGGCCATGGGTCAAAATCCAAGTCCCGTACAGTGAACATGCCAATCCAAACACGAAAACAGGTTCTAAAATGGGTGCGCCTACCCCAAAATGGTACCATTGGTTTTGACCCACAGCCATGTGGGATGACAAACGGATTGGGTCTCTGCTTTCCAGTTTTCCAGTTAGGACTTGGCTTGGCAGTGGGGCTTTTTAACATGCAAGGAAGCCGCCAGCCAAATGCTGAAAATTGGCAAACAGTGCATTAGGACGCGAGTTGTTCCCGTCAATGTCATCCCGAGCCTGATGTTTGCTGATGCCGCACTGAGAGGGTCGGAAAAAACGCATAGTCCGTTGAGGCCGCAGAAAGATGCGATCGGTCTAATTATTGGTCTAGGATATGTTTGGAAAGGACATGCAGGGGAGACGCCGAATCGATTTCAAATACCAGGGCGATCACGCACCCTGCATAGATAAACCCGTCCTACTTTTGGGTGTTCCCTCCAAAAGTGGCCTGAATCCCCGCTACAGTGGTCTCTCCAATAAAAGGAATGGGACATCCCCGAATCTCTGAAAATCATCCGGGTTCACCACTGACAGGGGACAGCCCCATCTCTGAAAATCACCCAGGGGTTCTGCTTTCGGGGTTACCAGCTCACCACTGACAGGGGACATCCCCCCATCTCTGAAGATCAATCCAGGGGTTCTCTAGGTATCCCAGTAGTGCCCTTCTCTCACCCCTTCTTTGGTTGGGAGGGCTCCCCTACTAAAATAGACAAAATAGAAAAAAGTGGGGTACCCCTATTCTAACCTCTCTACTGGAGGACCTAGGTTACCCTTGACAGCTTGCAGGTGTGGTGGATGCGGCGCCAGCTCTGCACCCTGCACAGGAACCTAGCAGAGACGCTTGGGGGCCCAGAAAATGAAAAAACCGGTAGCTCGACACGGTAGCCGCATAGGTCTGCAAATTAAATTTACGGCAAGTTCACCCGGGGGAAAAACAAGCTCACCATGGTACAGATCCTTTAGGGATCCCTAGTTTTCAGGCATTGGAATTATTGTAACAAATACGATAGGTGTCTTCAGGCGAGTTTGGATAGAAACAGATGGCTTCCACTGCTTTCGCCTGGTTTTATTCCATGGGCGAACTTGTCCAACGGTTTATGGGTAGCCATAGCCTCAGAATTCTCAGGGATCCTTCTGAACCTCCAGGTCATCCCAGGGAAACGGGTCGGTTTCTTCGAAAGGGGTGAGAGTGGAGCATTGACTCAGTTCCCAAAGCGAATCGGCCTGAAGTGACATGTTAGTTTTCCTTTTGGGCTACCATAGTTCGTCCAGGTCGCAAAAGGTGATCCAGTATGTCCTGGTTTTTAGGGGGGGCTGTTTGGCCACCTGTTGTGCGAAAATGGGCGACCCCCCTCAAAAGGAATCCTTCACTACAAGGGGGTCGATCATTATGATCATTGTTCCACCAAAGGTGGCAAAAAGACCCCCCTGCTGGTCCCGTTTTGGGGCAGAGAGAAAGCTAACCCATCCATTGCCAAGAACTAAAGGCCGCGCTTGATGGCCGAAGGTGTGGGGGGTAGGCAAGCGATGAACCAGAAGTTCCAGCTACGCGGGCGTGTCCTTTTTTTAAAGCTTGGACCTCCCAAAATGCTGGTTTTCCTTTTGGCTTTTCTTGGAAAAAAAAGCACCAACAGCGGGGTACCCTCAAAAACCTTGAGAAGTTCGGGCAGTTGCCGATCTTGATTTGCCTTTTCTACTTCGCTTGGCACAGTGCAAGCACCTGCCTTTTGTATAGGATAGAACAGCGATCGCGAAAAACTTTGAGGGTTTGGGCGGACATCTAGTCAGGTATCGTGAAGCCATGGCCAGTTTCTCAAAGTCATGATACAGTTCAGCTCTTGCCTCCTTCCAGTGGATCCGTGGCCTTCGGTAAGCAAGGGCAAGCGCCACCCTAAAGCCCAAAGGAGAATACTTCCCCAGAATTAGTTCCCCTTTTTCCTTTTTTGCTTTTTTGGGGTTCATTTTGTTTTCCACTACTCAGCAAAAAAGATATTTTTTTGCTGGGGTCCTAATTCCAGCCAAGAGTAGTTGCCTGGGTTAGAATAAGCGAAGACGAAGCTTCCTCAGTCGCCTTACGCCGAATCCCACGGTATTCAGTTCGAGCGTTTGCCAAGGCATGTCTTGGGTTTGAAGTTCAACCAGCTGACCTTTTGGCTGTGCGGTGCTGCAATCAACGAGGAATCGACGCCTTATTTTTTTTCCTGAAGTGGCTTATAAGAAAGCAATACGCCGCCATGTTTTTGGAGCCCCGTGACCAGGCGGCAACATTCGTGTTTTTTTGTTGGCTTCCGGCTTCCCCTATTATTTTTTATTTCTTAAAAAAACTGCTGTTATTTCTCCTCTTTTTTGTTTTTCTCTTTTTTGTTTTAAGAACAAAAACCAAGCTGCTGGCGCCCTTGCAAGCGACTCTGAAGGGAAGGCCCCAAGCCTTGCTCGGCTTTTTGAACTCATCCCCGCTATGGAACCAGCTCAGGCAGCGGCTGATCACTCAGCTCGAGGAGGGGCTGAGGGAGCACAGAATTGGTCGGAATCAGGGTTGTGAATTGAAGAGCGTGGGCCAACCCAAGGTGCTGAGAATCCAAGTGGGTCTGTCTTTCTTTGAGGGTACTCCCCCCCCCCCATTTTTCTGGTGTTAGAGGAATAGCAAACGGAAAACCACCATTTTGGTGGGTTTTCCGCAGGGGATTTGAGCTCTGGATCTGTTTTTGTGGGGTGTGAGTTTGTCACACGGGGCTGCAGAGCCAGGCATCCAAATGGATCACCTGCCCCAAGATATTATACTATAGGTCCCCCAGTAGTGCCCTTCTCTCCCCTTTTTTGGTTGGGAGGGTTCCCCTACTAAAACAGACTCCGGAAAAGAATGGTACCCTTATTCTAACCTCTACTGAAGGACCTGAATATGCAGGACCTTCAATTCCTGCAATTGAATTTTTTTCCTCTGAATGTTTAATGAAACAAATGCATTGGCTATAGAGCTGAATTGTGAATAAAAGCAAATGCATTATATGACTTTTACCAACTACATCTCCTGTTCTAATTGTTGTTTTTTCTTGTGTATTAGATGCGACTAGAACAAAAGACCCACTGGGCAGGGAGTGCTTTGACTGGAAGCTTGTGCTCGCAAACTGCGCGGCTGAACCCGGAGGCTTGAAGACACTACGAAACAAAAGCTGGCAACCGCAAGTGGGCTCCTTAAACGATACGTTTTGCCGTGCATGAGACAGCACAATGAGACCGCCGCGGAGGCAACCGAAAGGAAGCAAACATAGCAGGGCTCCTTAAAAGATCTCCAGTTTGCCATTCCATTTGAGATACATGTTGCTTTTTCAACACCAAAATGAAGTTGGAACCCGCCAAATAGACAAGTTGCAATGTTCAGGTGTATAATGTAAAGATCCCTGCGCAGCAACCAGCAAAAGAGCGCCCAGGTCTTGGATGCTGTCTCGCTTCTTCCAAAGTCATGGGTTTCTGGGGGAAAAAGCTTCGCTCCTAGGCCGGCGACAAAAACTAAGACGTGCGGGAGCTACAGGCAAACTGGGCGAACTTTACTTGGTGGCTCCCAGCCATCCGGTTCCTTAGCCTTTATTAGCCTTTTAGCGTTTAGTTGGGGTTTCCATTTAGCCCACTAAAAGTTAGACTTTTAGCAGGGGATCTGAGGGCAGCTCAGTTTAGTGGACTTCAATATGTTTCAGGGTTTGTCACTTCCGGCTGAATGATTTGAATTCACCAAGGAGGCCAATGTTGGTGCCCTCACAATCAAACTGCCCAACAAAATGGAATTTACCTCATAATTTTGGGGCAATCACCCATGTTTAATGGGTTTAGGTGGATTCGTCTCTGAAATGGAGGTCAAAAAGAGAAAGAGTTCCAGCAGACACCAGACATGTCGAGGATTTCAGCATGTTTCATCGCTTTTGGTTCCGTGTGAGAACGGAATCCAATGTAAGACAAGTCACATGTTAGCCTTTGAGACATCGATAGATCTGAATGGGTACCAGTTCAAGGATTATGTACAAAGTCCACTGAGCACAGGTATCCTTTTTGGTTGATACAAAATAGATGGCGATTCTTGGTCCTGTTTCGGTCCTCTACCAGGGAACCCATCCATCTTTCCAGAAGGACACCAAGGGCAACTGAGGGTTCATTGGGTGTTTCTCAAAATAGGGCCCCCTCGACATGTGTGGTATGGCGGTTTCCCTTTACAGCAACCCAGAACAGAGGGTCCGATTCCTATTTGTAGAAGCACCATCATGACAACTTGACAGTCATGTTACGAAATGCGCTCATCAGTCCGTGAAGTATTAGTCCGGCGGCTGAAGTGATATTATTTAGGCAGATTTTAGTGATTTTAGTGATATCATCTAGGCATTTTAACCCCAAACAAGGGGTAGAAGGACCCCCTGGTATGAAGTTCGGTTCGCCAAGTCTTGGCGGAGCCCGACTGAAGCGCCATGGCGTTGGTGGCGAATCCGCCCCTCGCGCGGCTGGGAACTCGGACCGCGCGGGACGCAAGAGGAACGGCGCCGAGGACAGGCGCGGCGCGGGGCGAAGTCGAAAACCGCGAGGAATGGAAGCGCGGGATGAGGCCTCCGTTGGGATTGTTTCGGTGAAAAGCACGCCTTTTGGCGGTCCCTGAAAATGTACATCTCAAGGAAGGTGTGCAAAGGAGGGCCATTTTTTTTAGGATTTTTTTTCGTTTTTTTTTAGGAATTATTTTTGTTTTTCAGGGTCGGTGGCTTTTCGGCTTTTTGGCTTTTGTGGCTTTTAGTGGCTTTTGTGGCTTTTCATTTCGCATCATCTGCATTCACAGTTCCTCTCTTTTCGCATCCTCTGCATTGCCAGTTCCGCTGCGGCAGGTGGCTTTTTGGCTTTTTGGCTTTTTGGCTTTTTGGCTTTTGGCTGGCTTTGGCTTTGGCTTTGGCTTTTTGCATCCTGATGCTTTCCCAGTTGGTTTTTGGCCTTGGCTTCCTGCATCATCAGCATCGCAAGTTCCTCTCTGGGCCCCCCGCCACCCCCCTTTCGATTAAAATGCACGCCTAATTGAATCATCACTTTTTCGATCATCATGCGACAGCTACTTTTTAGATTCTTTGCCCCTATTTTTTCGATCATCATGGGGGGGGGTGGCTGCCGTTTTACAGGGATTAGTTTGCCCGCATTTGAATCCTCACTTGTACCATGAGGCCTTGCCGCAGAGGAACTGATGACCCCCCCCCGCATTTTTTTAGACTTTTTGCCCCTCATTGAATCATGACTTTTCGATCATCATGGGGGGGGCTGCCGCCCCCCCCAACCCCCCCGCGCCTTTAATTGAATCATCACTTGTTCAATCATCATGGAGGGCCGCCCCCCCGCTACGTTTTAAGTGTTTTACAGGGATTAGTTTGCCCGTGTTTGAATCCTCACTTGTACCATGAGGCCTTGCCGCAGAGGAACTGATGACCCCCGGCTGCTTTTTTTAAATATATTTGGCCCTTTTTGAATCATCACTTCTTCAATCATCATGGGGGGGCTGCCGCCCCCGCTATTTGTTGGACTTTTTGCCCCTAATTGAATCATCACTTTTTCGATCATCATGCGACCGCTCCTTTTTAGATTCTTTGCCCTTAATTTGTCGATCCCCGCAATTTTTTAGACTTTTTGCCCCTGATTGAATCATCACTTTTTCGATCATCATGGGGGGGCTGCCGCCCCCCCCCCCAACCCCCCCGCGCCTTTAATTGAATCATCACTTTTTCAATCATCATGGAGGGAATTGCCCCCCCCCCCCGCTACGTTTTAGGTGTTTTACAGGGATTAGTTTGCCCGTGTTTGAATCCTCACTTGTACCATGAGGCCTTGCCGCAGAGGAACTGATGACCCGCGGCTGCTTTTTTAATATTTATTGTCCCTTTTTGAATCATCACTTCTTCAATCATCATGGGGGGGCTGCCGCCCCCCGCTATTTGTTGGACTTTTTGCCCCGAATTGAATCATCACTTTTTCGATCATCATGCGACCGATCCTTTTTAGATTCTTTGCCCTTAATTTTTCGATCATCATGGGGGGGGCTGCCGCCTGCCCCCAACCCCCCCGCAATTTTTTAGACTTTTTCAATCATCATGGGGGGGGCTGCCGTCGTCACTTTTTCAATCATCATGGGGGGGCTGCCGCCACGTTTTAGGTGTTTTACAGGGATTAGTTTGCCCGTATTTGAATCCTCACTTTTACCATGAGATGCGGGAAGCCAATTTGCTGGTGATGCTGGGGATGTTGGCTGGACATGCGGGGGATGTTGAAAACGATGCTGATGATGTTGACGGACTAGCGTAAAATACGTACAGGACGGAAAACAAAAAAAATCCAAAAATAAAACAAAAAAACAAATCCCAAATTAAATCTCGACCCGTGTGCAAAACAGGCCCCAGGACGCAAAACAGCTGGCCGGCCGGTTCCTAGCAAAGAGCAACTTTTGGAAGACTGGCTTCACCGAGCTGGAGTCTCCAATGACCCTCTAATCTAATCAATGGGGTCATTCCCCAAAATAGACCCAGTTTAACAGGGTAAGGACCCCATGTTACAGGTTCTTACCCAAAGTTGCCCCTCTCTTTTTGGGCAACTCTGGAGTGTTCATGTTTCCATTTTTACAGGTTGCCCAAAAGAGAGGGGTCAGAACCTTGGAGTCATGACTCCAGGGCGCCTGTTTCATCTTGGTGGCTCCCAGCCATCCGGTTCCCTAGCTTTCAGCTTTTTCGTTGGTGTAGCGGTTGGGTTGCCGTATCTAACCCACAAGTGAAACACTTTTAGCAGATCAGAAAACAGTGAGCCCGGGCTATTGTATTTGTAGAGGGTCAGTGACACCCCTGGTGTTTTGGTAAACAGCTTTGTCAGACGGAGAGCAACTAGTCAAAGGGAACCACCAGGGTGGTTGAACCCTCGAACTCATAAAGAAAAGATCGGACTGCCCCTTTTAAACCTCGGCAAACCCATGTCTGGGGATCAGAAAAGGGAGAGCACCCTGTGACCAAAGGTGATTCGAGGACATGAATCCCCACCTAAATGATGTCCACCAAAGGGCCCCTTAAGAATCATATCCATGTCCTACCCCAAAAAAAGGTCGGACTCTCCCTGAAACCTGAGGAACCCATTTTCAGAAAACGGAGAGCGCCCTGTCACGTCCTGGCTTCGTGTTATGGCTGTGGCTCAAAAAACCGGAATTCCAAACTGGGGCAAGCCCGATCGGTAAGTGGAAACATGGAAACCAACACCTGCGGAGTTTGCCCCGATCGTTGAACTTTGAGAACCACACCCTACTCGTCGCCTTCGCCGTCAGCTGGCCTCGGCCTTCGCGCGCTTCCTCCCGAAGCCGCCGGCCTGGAGCCGACGGCCGCCGCAGCAATCGCCGCAGCAATCGCCGCGGCAATCGCCGCGGCGGCCGCTCGGAGAGGTCCATGGTAGCCGCAGACATGTTCTCAGTTGTTCAGTGGCTCCAATTCTTTTTCCAACTTTTTTTTGGTGGCTGCCCCACTAAGATGGTCCAAGCCCAAAAAAGGGTTCCCTTTTTTTTTCCAGGGTCACTGAACAACTGAGTGTTCAAAAGAGTGGATGATCCATGAATCACAGGTTGGGCGAGGTTTTATATATGTAACTGTGTATTGCTTTGTGTAGGCTAAAAAGAAGGTTGGACGAGGCTTTGATCATATGTATTGTTTTGTGTGATCCATGAATAAAAAGGTTGGACGTGGTTTTCATTCTATATGTGTATTTTTTGTGGGTTGATGCTTTAGGGGAGGTTCACTTGTGGGTTCATGATACTTTGAGCCAGTATTGATTTCTCTTCTCTAAAGTGCTGTTTGGCGACATCGGTCTGTCTTAAATAGGGGAACCCCGAAAATGGGCGGTTTTCCTTTTGGTAGCCTTTTAAAACCAACCAAAAGGGGGAGACACCCCCGTGTTTGTGCCCAGGTGACGTCGTGGCAGAAGAAGGTACCGCCGCGAGTGCAGAAACAGGCTGGGGTGACGCTTCCAATTCGAATCGCTTCAACGTTTGATTGATGCAGATGGAGTGAGTAGGGCTCTATCCACCCCAAACCTCTTCAGCGCGACGGTTTTTGGTTTCCCTTTCAGCCAACCCCAAACAGGGCACAGACGAGCCACCCCCATGTGACCGTTTTCCCACGGCCTGCCAGAAGAGCAGCGAGCGGCCCAATTCGTGCCGCAACTCAGGCAGTGGTCAGCTTGTTAAAGGTGGTGACATCGGTGTTGGGATCGTTTAGTTTGGTTAGAAATCGATGGGTTCCACTGGTTTGGTTGGGACTTATGCCCCATTTACTACGGAAGGACAGCCAATGTAAGGCGAGTTTTGGTAGAAATAGATGGGGTCCCACTGGTTTACATTGGTGTTATGCCCCATTTGTAGGGACACTTTTTTGCTGACCCCTTTCAAGCCCGGCACAGAATTTAACAAACGCAAAAGTGGGGGCGCCCCAGGGATAGATGTTTGCATACCTTGGCCATGGCAATCACAATTCCCAGATTTGCAGGATTTCTTTTGTGATTCATTTCACTTTTGGATGTACCTGCAGTCTCCATGACCCATTAAAAATGGCTCTAATGACCCCATTTTTGAAGGGTCATGGAGACTCCAGGTATCTTTCATTTTGGTCCCGAACCCCACTGAATTGGGCTACGGACTTGACCAGGATCTGTGGCGGAAGAAGCTCGGCGGCTTGGTCAGACAGAATTGTTCTTTTGTTCCTTCATTGGGTGAGTCGACACGCTGTGAGGGCCCTGGACATGGGTGTGTCTGTGTTTGGGTGGTTTTACTCCTTGTTGGTGGCTGGAAAGAGAAACAAAAGGACAACCCACCATTTTGAGCCCTATAAAACAGACGCCCAAATGGGAGTTTTCATATTATGTTTGCTTGGAGCCGAGAAAGACAGGAGCAAGCAAATTTCGATCTCACATATTCTCGTGCCATGAGGTGCATCAATGCGCTGTGTGAAAGAGTCGTGGCTCTCGCCTGTAGCTTCGGCTCGTCTTTTCGGATGACCTGAACCTGGCCAGCGCAGTTCCTGCCGTTCTGCGCTGGCGATTTCAGCTTGTGATCCTTTTCCGTGACCAAGAAACTTCTGTTTCGGGAGTGGGTGGAGGTGAGCATGTCGCGTGCTCAGTTTGATCAAAGTGGGCTGACGCGGGCTCAACAGCCACACAGTCCAAACCAAGGTTGTGGGATCAAGGGGTTTATCCCCACTTCTGTGATACAAGGGAATCCCCTCTTTAAATGGCGGGGTAGTCTTTGGGGGCCCTTTTTCTTGTATCACAGATTCGTGGATTCCATTTCCCACAGCCAAACAGTCCAAATAGACCCTGACCCGGAAAATTCCAACTTAAACACCGATTGCAACGGAATTTATTTCGAAGTCCCTTCGGTAGTTCTGGAGGGTCCCGGCACCGATTTCCCAAGTGGCCATGGTTCAAAACCGTTTTGGGATCCCATGTTGGGGTAGGTGAATTCACCCATTTTAGAACCTAGTTGAGTGGTTGGATTGGTTGATGTTCACTGGGGGTGCGATTTGGGTTTTGACCCATGGCCAAGTGTTTGGACTTCGTGAACTTCATGTGAAAAATCTTTTTCGCAGGGGGGAAAGTGAAAAGAACTAGATGGCTACTCCATCCGTTTTTCTTTGTGGCTGTTTGGTAGCGGATCTTTGGACTGTAGCTTTTTGGTTAAAGCAGAACGGAGATTTTCCATTGGATCAACAGCAACCAAGTTTTCAGAGGGTCAACCGTGAAAGGTAGTCCCTGTGGTTGCTTACATTTAAATGTGCAACTGGGCTTGACCTACTGTGGATGCACCACCTTTCAGAAACCCTGGAATTATATGGTTCCCCAACGTAAATACCAACAAACGTTATGGTTTTATTCCCATGGTTTCACAAACCGTGGTGCGAGACTCGCGGATTTCGCGAAACCATCCACGGAGAGCTCCGAATGAGTACCGGCTCCAAAACAAAGACGAGCCATCCGTGTGCAACCACCGTCCATAGTATCTCCATCCTTTCACACAAGGATCAAACTTCCTGAAAGGTGGGTCCCTTGGCTAGTGTAAATATGCAAGCTCTCTTCCAACCACTTCTGCGGTAAATGGCTTACATAACCCCCGAAATCGCGATAGCAACCCAACCACTGAGCCACATGCAACTACCATCCATCCATTGTGTTTTGCCTCCTAGTTTCCCTTGAACGCCACCAAAGCAGGGGTATCCTCAAGAAAAAGACAAAGCCATGATGCAACTGGGCTCGACCGATTTGAGCCGCGCCGCTTTTCTCGCTGAGGCCGCTTCCGCGTCACGCCGCTGCCCGGCAGAGGCCGCTGCCCGGGCAGTGGCGAGGAGGGGCGGAGTCCGAGGAAGTCCGTATAGCCGGGCCTTCCACTTCTTCGGCGCATTTTGCCAAGGGGATGTTAGGACTTCGCAGCCATCCACAGCATGGTCAGTAAGGTTCAGATCATCTCTGCAGGGGTGCATGTTGCCAAGGGGATGTTAGGACTTCAACATTAAAAAAAAACCCTCATGGGTTTTCCGTATTACAACCACGAAAGGTTATTCACTTTTCGCAGGGCTTCGCAGAAAGCAACCGAGACTTCTCCGAGTTCCGCTTTGGGACTTGAGCCGCTGTTTGGGTTTGGACTGTTTTGAAGTGCAAACAAGGAGTTTGGGTGCTTTTTGGTGGCCCATCAACTCGGGAAGTGAGATTTGCGTATAGGAATACCTGGGACCCTCAAAATTCTAACTTGGTCATGGCAACCCAAAGTTTCGGTTGGTGAAGTCCAACTTGCTATGGGTAGTTTGAGGGTCCAGGCATGTTTTAGTTGTCCTCTGTTGGTTTTGATTAAAGGGAATCGATCTCACCTTGACATATTGCCCTATTTGTCTGGGCATTGTCTTACCTTGAGACAATGGTTTTCCCATTGTTGCTCGGTATCTAATTGGGATTCGAATCATTCCGTTGGGCTTCTGGCGGCGCGAGACTCGCGGATTTCGCAACCACAGTCTAAACAGGTTCTCGCTTCTGCTCATTTACCAGTGCCATCTATTCAATGGGACAGCTACGGCCAGTAAGATTTATCACTTTGGAGGTTCCAAGTCTAGGTTCCATGTCAATTCACAGAGGAGCATTCCGGGATGTCTTAGCTGCCAAAAGGACTTCGCAGCCATCCACAGCATGGTCAGTAAGGTTCAGATCATCTCTGCAGGGGTGCATTTTGCCAAGGGATGTTAGAACTTTCACTTTTTAAGCCACTCATGGGTTTTCCGAATTCAACCACGAAAGGTTATTCACTTTTAGCAGGGCTTCGCAGAAAGCAACCGAGACTTCTCTGAGTTCCGCTTTGGGACTTGAGCCGCTGTTTGGGTTTGGACTGTTTTGAAGTGCAAACAAGGAGTTTGGGTGCTTTTTGGTGGCCCATCAACTCGGGAAGTGAGATTTGCGTATAGGAATACCTGGGACCCTCAAAATTCTAACTTGGTCATGGCAACCCAAAATTTCGGTTGGTGAAGTCCAACTTTTTATGGGTAGTTTGAGGGTCCAGGCATGTTTTAGTTGTCCTCTGTTGGTTTTGATTAAAGGGAATCGATCTCACCTTGACATATTGCCCTATTTGTCTGGGCATTGTCTTACCTTGAGACAATGGTTTTCCCATTGTTGCTCGGTATCTAATTGGGATTCGATTCATTCCGTTGGGCTTCTGGCGGCGCGAGACTCGCGGATTTCGCAACCACAGTCTAAACAGGTTCTCGCTTCTGCTCATTTACCAGTGCCATCTATTCAATGGGACAGCTACGGCCAGTAAGATTTATCACTTTGGAGGTTCCAAGTCTAGGTTCCATGTCAATTCACAGAGGAGCATTCCAGGATGTCTTAGCTGCCAAAAGGACTTCGCAGCCATCCACAGCATGGTCAGTAAGGTTCAGATCATCTCTGCAGGGGTGCATTTTGCCAAGGGATGTTAGAACTTTCACTTTTTAAGCCACTCATGGGTTTTCCGAATTCAACCACGAAAGGTTATTCACTTTTAGCAGGGCTTCGCAGAAAGCAACCGAGACTTCTCTGAGTTCCGCTTTGGGACTTGAGCCGCTGTTTGGGTTTGGACTGTTTTGAAGTGCAAACAAGGAGTTTGGGTGCTTTTTGGTGGCCCATCAACTCGGGAAGTGAGATTTGCGTATAGGAATACCTGGGACCCTCAAAATTCTAACTTGGTCATGGCAACCCAAAATTTCGGTTGGTGAAGTCCAACTTTTTATGGGTAGTTTGAGGGTCCAGGCATGTTTTAGTTGTCCTCTGTTGGTTTTGATTAAAGGGAATCGATCTCACCTTGACATATTGCCCTATTTGTCTGGGCATTGTCTTACCTTGAGACAATGGTTTTCCCATTGTTGCTCGGTATCTAATTGGGATTCGATTCATTCCGTTGGGCTTCTGGCGGCGCGAGACTCGCGGATTTCGCAACCACAGTCTAAACAGGTTCTCGCTTCTGCTCATTTACCAGTGCCATCTATTCAATGGGACAGCTACGGCCAGTAAGATTTATCACTTTGGAGGTTCCAAGTCTAGGTTCCATGTCAATTCACAGAGGAGCATTCCAGGATGTCTTAGCTGCCAAAAGGACTTCGCAGCCATCCACAGCATGGTCAGTAAGGTTCAGATCATCTCTGCAGGGGTGCATTTTGCCAAGGGATGTTAGAACTTTCACTTTTTAAGCCACTCATGGGTTTTCCGAATTCAACCACGAAAGGTTATTCACTTTTAGCAGGGCTTCGCAGAAAGCAACCGAGACTTCTCTGAGTTCCGCTTTGGGACTTGAGCCGCTGTTTGGGTTTGGACTGTTTTGAAGTGCAAACATGAAGTTTGGCAACCGAGTCTGGGCATCTTAGCAAGAACCGCGGGGCACCTGGGTGTGGGTCCAAAATGAGCAACCAGCATTGAGTTCATGCTTCCATTTACGAGGTTGGGTCCCCCAGATAGGTGCCCTTCTCCCCTCTTTGATGGGTCGAGAGGGTTCCCCTGCTAAAATAGAGCTCAGAAGAAAGTTGGTACCCTTATTCTAGCCTCTCTACTGGAGGACCTAGCCAGGTTGGCAGCAGCCCATTTTTGACCCGCACTTCGCCAGGCTTCGGCGCCGTGGCGTGCGCGGACTTCGCCTGCGGCGACCTAGTGGCGGAGGAGGTCCCGTTGCGCCGCGGCCGAGCGGGGGGGGGGAGGGGGACGGGAGGGGCTGGAGACGGGTGCGGCGGGGTGGGGTGAGGGAAAACATGGCGCTTGGTGGTTGTTGTTGTTGTTGTTTTTTTTTGGGGGGGGAGGGAGTACCCGTGTTTGGTGATTTTTTGAAGGGAAAGCAAGGGTTGGGCCAGGGAAAACACGGGCCGGGGTTGACTTGGGTGGTTTTCTGTTGGAGGGGCCCAAAGTTTGGTGGTTGCTTTCAAGGGAAACCAAAAAGGAGAACCGTTGCGCCCGTTTGGGGGTCCGAAAGTCCTGAGAAAAGACACCCGTTTCGCTTTTTTGGGGCCTGGAAATGGGTCCTTACCTCAAAATTATGGGCGAACTCCCCCTTTTTTTCGGGTAGTTCTGTCGGGTCCAGGTGCATAGTTTTGATCGGTGCTCTCTGCATAGTGTTTGGCTGCCCTGCTTTTTCAGTACGACACATGGGTGACGGGTGGCTTATCTCCTTTTGAGGGTGCCCTTCGAATTTGTTGTTGCAAAGGGACACCTCAAGGAAAGAGCCCTTTTCAAGACACACACACACACACACATCTTGGCAGATGGTATGTTGACCGACACAAGCTACAACATTTGGCTACCTAAAGCCTTACAATTCCAACTTGAGCATGCGTGATTGCCCCACAATGATGGTGTAAATTCCCTTTTGTATGGGTAGTTTGAGGGTCCAGGTATGGTTTGTTAAGAGTTGGAGCCTCCAAATGGACATGAGTTGGGACCCGCCGCATTCTGATGTTCATTAAATCAAATGGTCTGGGACCAATAAACGTTCATACTCATATTGTGGATGGGTGCAATCCATTTCTCATCACCTAAGAACCCCTGGAATGATTCGATTCCCCTGTAAATACCAACACAAATAGTTTCAGCCTGGTTTCTTACCTTAGAATGATTCGATTCCTCCTGTAAACACCACCAACAAATGGTTTCAGCCATGGCTTCAAGGGTGCAGGCTTTGGTTTCATTTGGCTGTGGGTCAAAACCAAGGGGTGGGTGCACCACCCATTTTAGTGGGGATTGGGATGTTCACTGGGGGTACGATTTGGACCCATGGCCATTTGGTGGTGCGTTGCTTGCGGATTTCGCGAAACCATCCACGGTAGGTTGACGTCCTACATCCAGCATTTGCCCCCCGAGGCTGCAGCTGGGCCTGGGCGCGACAGCTGAGGAGCAGATGAAGCTTTTTGGACTGCAGAGTTGAACAGGGCTAGTGCTGACCGCAGATTAATCAACCCCGGTTTATTAGTATGGGGTGAATCCCCGCTAAACCCAGGGACAGCCCTATTCATAAACAGCGGTTGATGCATCTGGCGTCAACATTAGGTCACTCACTCCCTCAGTTCCTGGTAGTCACTTGTTGGGATGGGACCAGCACAGGGCCAAGCCACCACTCACTCCCTTGGACTTTACCGACTTTTTGGGAGGGCCATTTTAGTGAAACGGTTTGGGTACTTTTGGCCCTTCCGATCGACATCGTCAGTGAGACCAGGGGCGCTGATTTGAGATGTGTGCCTGGCGGTTCTATCCTTTTACCAAGCGAGTGCTGACTTGTGGCCTTACTTTTCTAGGTCTGCAGGGTGGAAAGGTTGGTTCGCCTATCTGCCAGCACTTAGCAACGTTTTGTTTCTTCTTTTTTTCTGTCAAGCCTCATCCCCCTAAGTTTACGTATTTCCTAATTACTTTAAAAACAAATTCCACCTCATGGACCAACAACGCTTCAACGTTTCTTCGCTTCAACCACAAAGAGGCTTTCACAAGAAGTCCACCTCAGAATCACAGCTGTGCTTTTTAGGTTCGTTCGGTTTGAAATAGGCGGCGGTGGCACTGGTTTGAATGTGTTTTATTCCATTTACGGGGGCCATCTACTTTTCCAAAAGGTCACCTGTGCTCAGAAACTGCGCCTCAGCCACGCATGCGCTCGTTGCTTGTTTCGGCGTTCAGGACTCTTAGCGATGAGCAGAAGGAGCGCATCTTTCAGTTGAGCGACTGGACGGGCACGGCGCCTTTCTTGCAACTTTGCCAGTGCGGACGCCCGTTCAAATGCTTCCTCCAGGAAAACAAGCATCGAACCGGCACAGGAACCGGTCCCTTTAAAAGGAACATGATCTTCCAGGAGCCCCTGTGCAGGTTCTATGTTTTGGGTGGTAGGTTTTGCGGCTTGGCGAAAATCGTTTTCTCAAACGCCGCGACACAACACACCTGTCAGGGAGGGCTGCAATGGCAAAGTCTTGCGATTGTGAGAATCCGAATCCGCCCCACCAGGCTGCTTGTGTGTTGAACACCTGCGTTGCCGAGATTCGAAGCTTTCTTCGGTGGCTGGAGACCCACAACTCACTTGCTCAGTTCATGAACTTTATTTTTGTTTTTGGGGAAGACCATTTTAGTGGTAAATATAAAGTTTGAACTTTTTTGGTCCATCCACTCAGCAAGTGAGACAACCAACTGTCAGGCTGCAGTGTCACAGTCCCACAGCTCCGACGTCAGCCAAGCTCTTGCTCAAGAGCTTGGCTGCTTGGGTACACAAATCGTGGCCCTCGCTTGCGCTTTCAGAATTTCTCAAAGGTTCAATCTTTAAAGACCAACCTGACCCCTCAAAACTCAAGATTCCCAGCCTTAAACGCTGGGAATGGTTGCAAGCCGAAAGTTACGGGCCGGATGGATTCCCTTGCTTTTGATGGGTGGTTCTTTCGGGTCAATGTCAATCTTTAGAAACAAGTGCTTCGAGCCAGTAGAGTGTGCCTTTTTTTGGTGGACGGCTCCCAAAAGCCACAGAGGCCAACTCCAAAGACGGACCCAGGCGCTCGCCGCTCGCGTTTCCGCGTTTCCGCGTTTTTTTTCCCTTCGCGTTGCCGAGTAGGGCTTGGTGTTCCTTTCAATTTAGGCCCACAAAGGGTAGCAACTCCAAAAAAGGAGGAGCCACCCACAGTGCTTCGCTCGCTCACCGCTCCGCTCGGCTTTTTCCTCAGGGGCTGGAGGGGATTCTGGCGACCAACTGCTTCCAGACGAATTTCAGCGAGCGGGTCCTCTGCCCGCAGCTCGCGCGGTTCAACCACTCCTGCGCCTCCAACTGCTGCTCGGAGATGGGATGCCACGGGATGCGACGGGGTCTGGGGGAAAGGAGCCCAGCCAACCACAGGGAGCGAACATGGCGTTCAAGTGTGGGTGCAACACATGGCTGTGGCAATCAAAATTAAATGATCGGAGGGGGGTTTGGTTTCCATGTTTCCACTTACGAGGGTTCCATTTTGGAATTCCTTCACCTTTTTTTGGGAGCGACCATGGCGTTCAAGTGTGGGTGAGATATGAAGGGAGACAAACAGGGCGGTCCCGTTGGCCAATTGATTATTCTTCCATTTTTCTGTAACTGTAACTCATGAACCAAAAAAGATTCCGCCCTGTTTCCATGGCCACTGGGCAAGCAAAGGATGGTCCTAGTTGGTCAGTTGGTTCTGGATGGCGTTCCACTTATTCTGCAAAGCACATACAAAGGGCACACCGTTGCATTGTTATAAATTGCATAATATTTGTTTACCTCTAAACCAAAGAAAGAGGGCTTTCATGGTCAAGAAACCGCCGGTTCGGGGGAACAAATCAAAACAAAGGGATCCGATCCTACACTCCTGGACTTCCGCCCTCCCGATAGGGTTTAAGAAGACTAGGGTTTTGGAACAGAAATCCGAGGTCCTGAACCTGGAGCCTCCTTTTTCTCCCGGCTTTTTCTTCTTCTTTTTGTTTTTTCGAAAAGCCCTCCTTTTCGAATCGCTAGCTGTCAGGCCAGCACTCCTGGGATGAGGATGCGCAGCTCATGCGGGTCTTCGCCTGCAAACACATCGCCGAAGGAAACTACTCGATCGCTGCCGGCGGTTCGAGGGCGAGAAGCCTTGTTTTGTTGTCCTTCTTCTGTTTGTTTGTTCTCCTTTTTTGTTTGTTCTCCTTTTTTGTTTGTTCTCCTTTTTTGTTGGTTTGTTTGTTTGTTTGTTTAGGTCATTTTACCAAGAAAGCGAGTGCCTGGACCCCTTTTGAAGAGCTGCACGTTGTTTTTCAGTCATGGTACCAAGAAAGCGGGTGGGACCCTCAAAAAATCCCAGCCTTAAACATGGGAATTACTACAACCCAAAATTATGGGGCCGGGTGAAGTCCAGCCGTTTTGTGGGTCTCGCGTAACATGTGCATGGCACAAAAGGGCCTGAAGTGTGTTCTGAGAGGGTACTTCTCGGAAGCTTTGCGGAAGGTTTCTGTGAAGATAAGTTGCACAATATGAATCTTGGTGGTTCCCCGAACCGTCCGAATCCGTTTCTGGGTGTTCAGTGGTGTTTTAGTTCGTTTAGGATCAGTTGGACAGCCCAGGTTGCTGTGCTTGTAGAGGGTTATTCATGTCACGCGAAATGCACGCTCTAGACAATGACCCCCCTATGTGTCGTAGTAGCAACCTCGACCAACTCCAAAACCTCCAAACAAGCCTGCCCAAACACAGTTCTTGGCAAACCTTTGCCGGAAGCAATACGAGGCAGCGGAAGCGGAAGCAAAAGTAGCGAAAACATGCAATTCGCTTTAACAAAAGCATGCCTGTGGAAGCGAAGCGAAGCTGACTTTATGGACTTAACACTTTGTGGGAAGACCATTTGGCCGTGGGTCAAAACCAATGGTACCATTTTGGGGTGGTTGCACTACCCATTTTAGAACCTATTTTAGTGGTTGGATTGGGAAGCTGTAAAATCAAGTTTGCACTTTCCCTTTCTCTACTCGCTGAAGAACTTGGATCCAGTCCGGTTTCTGTGTGTTGCGTCCTGTGCTCACGTTGCCGACCTCTGCCAATTGGCGCACTCAATGGGCACAGGTATCATCCGTGTATGGGTGTGTCTTTTGTGGGTTTAAGGGTAAGCAAAAGGAACACCACGATTTTGGGTGGCTCAGGCAAATGGAGGGCCCGGGCATATGACAGAAGCAATAACCCAACGTGCGAACCCTCGGTCCATTTGGAATACAATGGGTGACTAAGCCTAGAAAACCCTTTCCTTTTCCCATGTCCGCTTTTCTTAATAAGACCCGCCCAAAACTCTCTACTTGTCCATTTCCCTTTTTTGGGGAATTCTTAGCCCCTTTAAACCACCCAAACAGGCGCCCTCAAAAAACAGGTGCCCTTTTTGAGGGAGCTGTTTTTTGGGTGGCTTTAAAGGGCCACCCAAAGCAAAGCCTAGGACTTCGCGGGGGGGGGGGGGGTGAGGGGGGGCCAACCGAACAGACGACAGGGGAGGAGCTTTGCGTCGACTACATCGATGTGCGGCAAAGTCGGCGTGCGCGGCAGGCGGAGCTGAGCCTTGGGCTTAGTCAAGGCTGGGTTTCCGCTGGCGTCATGGTCTCGTTTTATGGTAGGAGCCTAAACCCTCGCCAACTGGGGTCAACCAGGGGGGGGTCGGTTTTTTGGGAGTTGGTGCCTAAACCGCCTAAAGCAAAAAAAAAGTCCAACTTTAAAAGGGGTGAATGCCCCAAACATATGGCTGTGGCTCAAAAAACCGGTACCAAAATGGAACCCTGGTAAGTGGAAACATGGACCAACACCTGCGTATCCCCTCCTGTTTAATTTTGAGCCACAGCCATATGGGGTGATCTCCCTTTTTGCTGGCTAGGACATCGTAAGCCGAGGTCAGAAGTATGGATTCCCGTGCGGCTGCACTGCTTGCACAGCCGGCGGGCAGCAAAGCGATGAGCGCAGGAGTGGCAGTTGTTTTGCGTGTGACGAGAAGCAGCGGGCGCCCACCGGGGTTGTTGTCGGGAAACATTTATATTTTTGCTTATTGTGGTTTAGTAAGAAATCCCTACTTATCTGCTAAAAATTAAATTGTTGCTCCCCTTCCAACGTCAACCAAGCCACGTGGTAGTGTGCTTAAGCATGTTTGCCTGTTGAAATGGCAGGTATTTTGTGTGACCTTTGGCCCTTCAGACCGTTTGAAGCCAAGGGCTTGTACATTAAACCTACAAAAGGTTGTTTTTGTTTTGGTTGGGGGGGTGTGTGTGTGTGTGTGTGTGTGTGTGTGTGTGTGTGTGTGTGTGTGTGTGTGTGTGTGTGTGTGTGTGTGTGTGTGTGTGTGTGTGTGTGTGGGTGGTGTGTGTGTGTGTGTGTGTGTGTGTGTGTGTGTGTGTGTGTGTGTGTGTGTGTGTGTGTGTGTGTGTGTGTGTGTGTGAAGCGTCCTGGAGCACGGACGGAAATTCCACATTGCAGGGGGACTGGAGCCGATTTGCCTATCCAGTCCAATGAAGCTACGGCATTTCGGTGGATACCGGATCTGATCAATCCGGCGTACCTGCCTATTTCCTGACCCTCTTTCCTGATTCTTTTTGCGGTTTCTGTTTGTCGCTGTTGCTTCCTGTTCGGTGTCGATGTTGTGACCTGTTGATTTGCATTTGCATTCAAGCATTTTTACTGACTGCGTTTTGCATCTCGGCTAGTGAAGCCTCTCGAGATAAGTGTGTTTACCCACGGCCTGTCCGACATGGCGCTGTGGGCTGGACTCGCCATATGCGGGAGCCCCCTGCGAGGGGAAGACCGTTCAAGTGTTCAAGTTCAAGCTGCAGTTCAGTTCAGCGCGTTTGACCACGATCAAGGCTGCAGCTTGAGGTCTTAAGGTATTCCGCACCCAAATGGTGCTCTGCTGGTTTCATGCGCCTGCACTGCCTGCACTGCCTGCCTTTGAAGCAAGGCTGCACCCACGAGGTTTCAGGCTCCTAAGCTTCATGCGCCAGTGACGAGTTGGTCATACACCAACTCTGCGATTCGTGGCGTTTATGGAAGCTTTCGTCTCGGATGAGTTCAGTTCAGATTCATCGGCATAGCCACATGAGGCACTTTCATGAGGCCACTTGACAGGCACCTCTGAGAACCCCTTTGTGCTCGCATGCATTTCTGTGGAAACTTTTGCCGTTGCCGCGGGGTTTTGGCGGTCCCCTGGTGG